TATATATATATATATATATATATATATATACATATATATATATGATATGAAAGAGAGAGAGAGAGAGATAATAAAATAATAAAATTAATTACCAGGGGTAGCGTTTTCCAAACTGCAGCTCCAGGGCATGGTATATTTTATTATGTGTGTCTGCATCTCGCACGTGTAGAACATTTTCCCCTATTGCCAAAAAAAACATGAATTGGTAAATATGATCCATTAAGACTCAATACAAAAGATTTAAACACTCAGTTAAAGAAAAAGCAGTCTGGGCCTGTTCAGAAGAATAAACATGCCATGCTGATTTCAAGGATCCTGTACATCATGAATGGAAAAGAACGAACACTATAAAGAGTACAGAAGAGTGATCATATCCTGCCATAATGCTTCAATTTCCTCTGTAAAGGTCAGTCATTCATATTCCTAACTAATCTCACCTGTTTCTCGGCCCGTCTGGCGAGTCCCCAGGTTAATGACAGGTGTTCCGAACGCTCCGGCCTCACGAACTCCACAGCTGCTGTTCCCAATCATGCAGCCGGCGTGTGCCACCAGCTGGATGAACTGATCGAACGGAACATGCTTCACCGCACGGAAGTTCGGATGCTGTTCGATTCCCTTCCGCCTCATCACACGAACCATCTCCTTACTTCCTACATGACACAAAACACAGAGCAGTATGGTGTTAATGGAGCGGAATTCTACTACACTTCTATTGCATTTATTCAGGGAAGGATTCCTAAGGTTGTTTCAACTGGTAAAGTTTTTTGAACAATTAATCCAAATGTCTGGCTCATAAGAGTCACAATTCAATTTTTTTTTCCAGAGTTTACATTTAATTCAAACTACAATTATGACATATTGTATTATGTGTTATTAACTAAAACTCATAAAAAATTTAATTGAAATAAAGCTTAAATAAAATGAAAGAGAAATATTAGATGAAAAAAACTTCAAAAACTAAAATTTGAAATGTTTTCTTGGCAACTAATGGAAACAAAATTTTAGTAGAAACACTAAAATTACTACAAGTAAAACTAAAAAATAAATTTAAGTTAAAAAGATTTTTTTTTTAATGAAAATGCCAAAAACTAAGATCAAATTACTTAAATTTAAACCAAATTTAAAATGAAAACTATATGGAAAATGTAAAACTAAAAGCATATAGTATATAAGTAATACAATGGCAAATGTCATTAGAAAGGCCCTGACATTTGGGGTGGGTGGAATGTCCACAAATTTATATCATAGTAACTGTCAAAATATAATTATTTTTTGCAGCAACTTAAAAAATATATAAAATATAATATGTGACCCTGGACCACAAAACCAGTCTCAAGTGTCAATTTCTCGAAATTGAGATTTATACATCATCTGAAAGCTGAATGTTTGAATGTATGTTTGTTATGATAGGACAGTATTTGGCCGAGATACAACTATTTGAAAATCTGAACTAGAAACTGCAGCTGTACTCAGGAAGCAAAAGTGTGTATATAGTGTTATCAGTCACAAAAAGTGGGAAAAAACTGAGAAAAGACAAACAGAAAAGAAAAAAACAAAAACAAGAGAAAGAGCTGACCTGCATCAATATTCGGGAAGAGAACGAGAGTTTTCTTGTTGAAGGAGATGAGGGCGTCCAGCATTAACTCATAGATCTTAATGGAATTCTTGATGTCTGTGGTAACAGGATGCTGCAGAGCTACAATATAGTCCTGTTCCTTCACATCATCCCCTGTTTAAGAGATAAATAAAATCACATATACATAAAAGACAGCATTAGAAGTTTTTAACAAACTTTAAATTAGTTATTTTGCCTTCATTGTTTATCTCTAGTAACTGCCATCTCAACCCATTCCTCTATAGTACATACCAAGCCACGACTTGATGATATCAGTATAATCGTCTCGTTGGTGGGCGGAAAGCAGCCTGTCGTATGACGGGCAGCCAGCCAATAAAATGTGAGAGTGGTCTTCGCACATTGAGATGAGGTGTCTCTCTGCCGAGCGTGTGCAGACGGCGTGGTAGTGTGCCAGTTTGGAGATGGCGTGACGAATGGAATCATCAATGGTGCCGCTCACTTCTCCACCTTCCAGGTGCAAAATGCGAATGTTCATTAGAGCCGCTGCCGTCGCCAAGGCCAGAGCGTCAAAACGGTCACCGTGAACGAGCAGAATGTCAGGGGCGAGACGCTGGAGCACGTCGGGAAGCTTCACGAGCGCGAGACCCACAGACTCCACCATAGCAGCTTCATCCTCACCACGAACAATGGTGTGCAACTTAGAGCCGATATCGAACTCATCCTGTTCAATCATACGAAACGTGTTTCTGGGAAAGAGAGAAAGAAACTATCATTAATTATGATTTAGGGCTGCAATTAATGATCATTTTGATCATTGATTATTCTGACGATTATTTCTAAAAAATATATATATTTAAAACAATAATTTTGCTTAATAAATTCATTTTAATACATTATTCAAATTGTTATTGCACATCCTGCCAAACAAATTTGTTGTAAATTATTTTAATGATTCTTATTGATTTTAGCGATTAGTTTTTGCAGCCCTGCTATGCATCACAGAGCAAGAAAGTTCCATCACAATTCAGTATGCAAATACATTTACAAAAGAAGACCAATTTGGATTCAGTATGCAAATATTACAATAACATCTTAGCTGTATGTTACAGTTAGAATGGGGAACATTTTCAGTCAGTTTTCTAAATGTATCATTTTATTTTTAGTATTTAGCATCAAAGAGAGAAATTATGTAGAAACTAAAGTCTGAGTGGTAAGAGACAGCATGTTGTCCATTTACAGTACTTTGACCTGTAGGTAATGTCAAGTTTACATGACCCAAGGAGGAGTCAAGACTGGTTTGGCTTCACTGATAAAAGACAATGGCTTCTAGCCACCATCAGCAGCCCACTGTGAGAGCCAAACTCCCACCGTCAAGAGCTGCATTCCAACATTTCCATGGCAACAGTGAGAAATAGTGCTGATTCATGTTCTGAAGCTCTCAAGCCCAGATGAAGATATAGTTACTGGACCTGTGGCTTATCAGTAAATACAGATCAGGATCAGATCTGTTTAAAGGAACAGTTCACCAATAAATAACAATTCTATCTCACCGTCATGTCACATTTCAAACCTGTAGGACTTGCTTTCTTCCATGGAACACACACAAACACAAAAAAATTTAATAAAATAACATTTTGAAGAATGTCTCAACTGTTTGTCTGTAAAATGAAAACCAGTGGGGACCAAAACAACTTTGGATCACACCGACTTTCAATGCATGGACAAAATACCTTCTTTTGTGCTCCATTGAAGAAATAAAAGCATTTCAGTTTTGGAACGACAAAGCTAATTTACTTAAGAGTCATGATTGTCGGCTGCTCTGATATGCAATATTCCTTAAACAATTTAATGTAGATCAGTTAAACTACTTATGATCAGCATTATCTAGCAGTCTTACCCGTAATCATCAATGAGATGTGAACCCAGCACCACCACCTCCAGGTCAAAGATTTCAGGGTGAGACTTAATGCCGAACATGATGGGTGCGAGTTTAGAGTAGTCCGCTCTGTTACAGGTGGCCACGCACACGCGTAGTCGTTCCTTCAACCTCTTCTCCGATCGCTCCATCTTCTGCTGTGCTTTCTGTGTCCTCAGATAGTAAAGTTCCTAAATGAGGAACATGTTTACAAATGTATACAGTATTCTGAGAATGTATAAAAAAGAATGAATATGCGAAATTAGTCACAGCTTAGTAACACTTTGGAAAAAGTTACTACATAAGCAAATCATTAAAAGCAATAGTTTATTTAGTGCCATCCTTCCACTAGAAGACATAGTACCTGACATGTAAACTAAAGTTAATATATATTACTACAGTATATTGAATTTCAGCACAACTTGAACCCTGTATTGACCAATCATCATCCAAGATTGGAACTTGATCTGTTCCACTACCGTGCATATATATATATAAATCATTTTTCTTTTTTATTTATTTATTTATTAATAGGCTACTTTAATTCACAAAAGATGCAATTAATTGATCAAAAGTGACAGTAAAGATATTTATAATATTACAAAAGATATCACAGTTCCCAAAATTATATTAAGCAACACAACTGTAATTAGAATTGTTTCTTGAGCACCAAATCAGCATATTAGACTGATTTCCGGAGGATCGTGCAACACTAAAGACTAGAGTAATGGCTGCTGAAAATCCAGCTTTAAAATACATTAGAAAATGAAAACAATATTTCACAATAAGGCAGATTTTACTGTATTTTTGGTCAAATAAATGCAGCCTTGGAGAGCATAAGAGACTTTCAAAAACATTTTTAAAAAATCATACAAATTCCAATATTCCAATACAACATTTTTTTTTTATGCTTAAATAAAAGAAAAAAAACAATGAAAATACTATTGTAGTAGATCAGAGCAAGCTTTTCATGCCAGGGGTTTCCAAATTGAGAAGGATCATACTTACATGAGTATTCCTGACCTGAACACTCTTGAGGCATGAAAACAGAATGAGAAAAGAGGTATATTTTGCTATGTCACTTCATAGAGGAATATAAAACTATGCATCCATTATGAAAGTGACCTGCATGAATACACAATCCTTTACTGCAGCACACATTGCGAAACGCTTTCAATGCCAGAGGACACCTTCAAACGCTTGTACATTGACCACTTTAAAGACTTCAAACCTGTTTTACAGGCATTAAGTAAACAACACAACTGGAAAGTAGCAGAAGCTAAATACATGGAATATAGTGCCTATGGTTATGAGTGCCAAAGTCCCACTGCATTATAGGAAAATCACCAAACCTGCCAAAGACAAACTATATTTAAACTATATGTAAATCCTCACACATTAAATAACAGTAAGAAAAAAAAAGTCAAATTTTTGGAATGAAACCATGGGCATCGCTAGGCCAGTTTTAGGGGGGCTATATTAGTTCCATAAACTGTACACAAATTTGTGATCACCTCAGTCCCCTTTAAATTTCATCTGAAAACGGTGGCAGACTTCG